CATACATACATACATACATACATACATACATACATACATACATACATACATACATACATACATACATACATACATACATACATACATACATACATACATACATACATACATACATACATACATACATACATGACTTTATTTAAACACGGAGAAGTACCATCAGCATATAATTATGATAATTAGCTATTTACAAATAAAAACAATTAATATAAGATTAAGGAAGAAGACAAGATTGAAGGGAAGAAGGAGAAGAGAAGAGGAGAGGTACTGTTTTACCTGGTTGCCGTGTGGGAGTCGGTAAGACTGGAAGAATATAGAGATTCCAGACTTCCTTTAAACGAGGAGAGGGATGATGATAATCAGTAAGAGATTCAGGCAAGCTTTCCAAAGTGATGCTCCAGGAAAAAACAACTTGCCATTAGAATTTCTTAGTAAATATTGACAATTCCTGGATGAAAACATTTCTTGTAAGTACTGGGGAGATTGACCATTAAGAGTTTTAAACATAACAACAGCTTTTTGTTTATGACGGTTAACCGACAAAGTGTTCCACTGCAGCTGATCTAGAAGTTGACTAGATGAAATATCGTAAGTAGAACGGGTAATAACACGAGCTGCTCGGTTTTGAAGTTTCTGAAGTCTATCATTTAGAGTCACTCCGAGCCCGCCCCATACTGGGGCACAGTAGGAGAAGTATGGTTCAACAAAACCTTTATATGCCTTAATTGCAGTTTCTTGGTCAATCAGCCCGCGCACCCGTTTTAGAGCCCCAATACCAGAAGAGATCTTTTTAGTAATGACCTCAACATGGTTTCTCCAAGTAAGGTTTTCATCCAAGGTTAGCCCTAGGGTTTTAGTTGAACTAGCTTGCCTCACTGGCACATTGTCAACCGAGACACTTGGCTTGTAATTATTAAAAGTTGCTAAACGCTGACGTGAACCAATGATCATGAACTCAGTTTTAGCAATATTCAAACTTAATTTGTTGGCTATTAACCATCTGTTTAGCTTAATCAGACTAGAATTCATCAGAAATTCAAGGTGGGATAAATTATCACTACTAACATTTAGGTTGGCACCGTCAGCAAACATCATTGTGAAACCCTCATTCAGGCACTTTGGGAGATCATTGATATACAGGGTGTATCAAAAAAAACTGAACAGATTTAAAATTGCTCTCAATTTCGCAAAACAGCTATTTGTATCCGGTTTTTTATATATATAGCCTCTTTGGGTACTTATAAAGTAGAATAATGAGAAAAATTTCTCGAACTCAAATTTTGTGAACCAGGGGGGAGTGTCTTTTCCAACAAACTAAAAATGGCTCGCGCACAAAATTTAAAAGCTGCAATCATATTTTGAGTTAACAGATGGAAAATTTGTCTAGATTTTAATTACTGTACAAAATTTTAGACAATTTGGTTTAGTTTAAGCCCCTTAACTATTCACGCAAAGTTACAATTTTCCCGAAAAATCAGCTATTTGCATGCTTAATTAATGCATTTGCCTAATTTGCATATGTCAGCAATATGCAAATTAGGTAAAGGCATTAATTAAGCATGCGAAAGGCTGAATTTTTAGAACAAAATGAATAGTTAAAGGGCTTAAACTAAACCAAATTGTCTGAAATTTTGTACAGTAATTAAAACCCGATAAATTTTCAATCTATTAACTTAAAATATGATTACAGCTTTTATATTTTGTGCGCGAGCCATTTTTAGTTTGTTGGGAAGGACACACCCCCCTGGTTTACAAAATTTGAGTTCGAGAAATTTTTTTCATTATTTTACATTATAAGTACCCAAAGAAGCTATATATATATAAAAACAGATACAAATAGGTGTTTTGCGAAATTGAGAGCAATTTCAAATCTGTTCAGTTTTTTTTGATACACCCTGTAGACCAAGATAATTAATGGGTGCATAATTTGGGTGCATAATTAATGCACCCTAGCTAATGTCAGTGCGCCCAACTTTATTACTAAAGAAGCGATCAAACGAGTATGAGAGTTGATGAGAGTTGGCAGTCACGCATTCTTGCTGGGAATATTTCATGCTCTAGATTAACAAAATAAAAGTTTAAATGGAATACATGATAGTGTTGGGAAAGCATTAAGAACAGCTAGCCAAGGTCACGTGACTGCCAACGCTCATGGCCTCTCATCCTCGTTTGATCGGGGTAGGTAATTTTCGAGTTAATTAAGCCCTTCGAGTTAAGCCCTTGTTAAGCCCCCGGCGAGAAAGGGTGTGGCAGGGGCTTAACTCGAAAAGGACTTAACTCGAATGGCTTAACTTTATTTGCCGAGGGGGAAGCGATGTCACCTTTATAAGTAAACAAGTACCGGAAACTCGGCTTTATACCAGACATATACTCACGTTATTTTTTACCCAAAATATTACATATGCAATCAAAGAATTGAAAGTGATATATTTACGAGGTTAAAATACAGTGCCATTGTTATATACGTGTGCAATATCACAGTCTGCGCGCTATTCGGCAAAACGATAACATTCATAACAGGCCTAGTTCACTTTGTGGTTTCAGGAAAGTAGTAAACATTTGATAAATGATCACGTGGTAGAAGTTGAGCAATTCAACTCATTTATTCTCCTCCAAACACAATCCGAAAACAATGCTTCCGTTTATAAGCCGTTGGCCAGGCTGTTGGCAGGGGTTACAAACGCGGAAATGCCAAGACACTATTTCAGTTCCTCAAAATCGGACGTCTGTTTTCAAAAGAAAAAATGTGAGATCGTTTTAATTAAAGTCGTACCTACCAGCTTTTTATTTGTGTAAATTTCGTCAGTAAGAATAGCCACTTCGAATCTTTTCAAATACACTTGCGCTCGCCGCTCGGAGCTCGACTTTCTGTGAAGAAAAATCCCAAAAATCTTTCACGTGATAGAGTTTCAAATTTCAATTCATGCTGGGGAAGACCGCTGTAAATAGCGTGGAATTCCAAAAATAACCAAAATTACGAATTATTACCAGAACTGACTGATAATGTTCGTTCTTCTGCGAACTTGCACACCCTAAACTGAGACAATCTAGAGCAAAGACGTTCTCAGCAATTCAAAGTTTTAAGTACAAAACGATCAATAAAATGGTACCCGACTATCTTTCCAACCAATTCACTCCAGCTAATACGATACCGCATAGCTATAATTTGCGTGACTCTGACATTTGACTGAGTCACTCAAGATAAGCTTTATCTATACAGTAGAGGTTCTGTCCCGCGGAATAGCCGACCTGTTCAAGCGAATTATTAATGCTACATTTCTAGGAAGTTAATCATCATATAGTTAGTATTACTCTATCTTGCCTTATTGCGAGGACACAGCAACTGGAGACAACTCGTTGATTACCTTGACCTTGTCCCAAACGTCCATGCTGCGATAAAACAAACTGTCTGTATGCCATGTGCAGGGACGCCGGAACGATGTGAAGGCAAGGGGGGCAGATTTTCGCGAAAGGGCACTTTTTAATTGATATATACTAAGAGATGTTTGCAAAACATCGGGAGTTGAACTGCGCCTAATCATGTTTTCTATTTATTGGGTGATAGGGGTGTGAGGGGGTTCTCCGCCAGGCGATGACTGCATTTTTTGCGTTTTCTGAAGCAATTTCGTAAAAGGAGGGGGGGGCAACGGGGGCATGTGCCCACCCACCCCACTTCTTTTACTGTGACAAAACTGCCATTTTTTCTGGACTAAAGTGCCCTAGAGAATGAAAAAAGTATTTCTTGAATGAACGCCCTCTTTTGGCCCTTTCAAGTCAACCCATTGAGCAACCTCGTTCCCTGATGCGCTCTACGCGAAAATCAGGGACGTGCGGGTCTGTGGCCGTGTTCTCCCTGAAAACATATTGAAATTTAATGTTCTGGGGGGTGAATAGAGACCTTACGATTTTAGGACGGCAACGCGACGACAACGGCTACCAATACTATTGTAATAGATCATTGAAACGAATTGAGTAATTACAATATGAATAATTTAGACATTGTCCTCGCTCTGTTTACAACGCTAAATCACAGATTTTCACGTCTTGATACAACGGCTGCATTCCAAGCCACAACAAGTCCATCTTCAAACTGGGTTTAGCAGAACCCTTCCCAACCATAAAACCCATGTCCTCAACTTCTAAGACTGTATTAAATTCATACGATTGATAATATACGACGAACTATCTTTACTACCATTTATTTGAAGGAGTTCGTTTTGGCCGTCGCCGTCGCGTTACCGTCCTAAAATCGTAAGGTCTCTATTCTTTGCTTGTTACTGCGGGAGAGAACAAGAGTTTCAAACAGATTCAAACTAAAAGCACAGTACACTCTTCTCACATATGACTGTCGAGGTGAAATAAGCAAGCAACGTCGAATCACACTCACAGTTGTAATGTACACGTACAAAACATGCACTAACACTGTCCCACCTCGCAGGAATACAGACAAAATTTATCTTTTTAAATTGTTTAGCTGCTCGAGTTTCGTGTACTATGTGCAATGCATTATATGATACAGTGCATGCATGTATTTCGCATGCAACAATTTTCCCGTCAACGTACGACAATCCTAGTCTGTCCATTATAGTTTTGCGCCCTGATTATCACCACTATATAATACTCTAATGAAGACACGAGATTGCGAGTAGAAAGCTTTTCTAAATAGTGCTTAGCTTTCAAAAAATAAACCTTTTTAGGCATCGCAATCGCATGAGTTCATTTTAGAATATGTACAATAAGACTGCAGTTCGGGCAATTCACGGAGAAAAATGGAAACACCACATCAGCATTCACATGAAACACTTTCCGTAGAAAACTAAACTTCGACTTTCCAGGCGAAACTACCAAGGATTTTTTCCCCATATCAAGATTCAAAAAGACAGTGGTAATTTTTTTCGCTGGTCCAGAGTAAACCCATTTCTTCGTAATTTCGTCCACGATACTGGCTTCAGTATAATCATCGCAAGCTTTGATGACACCAACCTCAAATGTTGGGCCCTCTGGACCTTGGAAACACTCTTCTGCGTCTTGTACTGCATGACTGACTTCGACTTTCCAGTGATGTGCTCCTGAAATCGAGAGTTCCTAGTTAAATAGTAGTTACTCTAATAGACGCGATTTTGATTGGTTAATTTTCGTACCAATCGGCCACAGGATGGCAAGTTCTCGCAGCTGGGAGGACTCCCCCTCCCAGCCTTTCAATAGATGGAATGTATAAACTTTCCTTTAAATATTTCACAATACCTGATATCATAAGTGTATCCCCAATCTAAAACAATATGTCCCCACATCACCCTCTCCTGACATGCAGTTGAGCATCTGTCCATTCATTCGTAAATACCCACTGCCATGAACATCACTTAGCTCCCATTTCACTTCTGCTTCAAGAGAACAACCTGGAGCCACAACACCATTGATCTTTGGTTCAAACTGGAACGTCCCCAGCTCATTTACCACAAATGAAATCTCATGGGTGCCATCTTGCTTCTCCGATATTTTGGCATCTTGTAGCTGCACACCATTGAGGATCACCTGAATTTCATCTTTCCCACAACCCGAGCTGATAATCCGACCTTCCTTGTCCTTGCATGTTATAACAATCACCGATCTCTTCCCGACTTTAAGCGTTGGATCTAGAAACTTCGCTTCGCACTTTGCAGGACAGACAGCTACCTCTTCGACAGAACATATATCTTTGATTAACTTTTTACAAGACTGAATTGGGGATTCTTTTTTTAAAAATCGAACCGGGTTTCCTACTTTGGGAGTGATTTCATCTTCCACGCTTTTTAAGTTAACCAGATATTGTGTGATGGTTGGTTTTATGTTCAAAAGTTGAACGTCGTTTCCGTTTTCAAGAGTACGCTTTGCAAAATTCACACCATTTTGGCACGTAGAGAGCGCGAGGTCCAGCACCTTCTTCGGTTCTTCGACTTCACTTTTTTGGCGTTCTGTAGTCGATGCGGTTATTGCCAGCATGTTTTGCTTTTCGGCATCGATTTCCTCATGTAACTGTGCGAAAAACGTTTCAATCTGGGACTTGCACGCCTCTTCTCTGGAAGTTATATCTTGGCTTTTGGCTACAGCTACGCCGATTCCTACAGAGATTGTTTCCACTCTTTCGTTAACTTTTTTCAAAAGGTTTTCGACTTCTTCTTTGGCATTCGAGGCGCTATCATCCAGCGAAACGACCTTGTGTGGTTTATGCTCAAGCACAGAGCAAGCCATACAAATAGTTTTCTGACACGTGTCGCAGTAAAATTTAATGAGTTCATGATGTTTGCTGCGCTTCAGAGGCCTCGCGTTCTTCGCCGGTTCGTTGTATTTTAACTCGTCTTTCGACTGTAGAACATGGTTCTTCGTATCGCATGAAATTTGGTGATATTCGGCGCATGGTCCGCACAGGAACTGCAGGCAATTTTTGCAGCGTTTTTCCACAGGCTTCTCGGGTTCTTCGCAGTTGTCGCATAACAAAGCTGGAGCATCGTCGTTGTCGCCCAAACTCAGTGTCGCCAAAACGTTGTTGGCGAAGAAATTTGTTGGCAGGATGGAAAGATCAGGTGGATTACCAATCTATTAAAATGAATCAATGTTATACAGACTTATAATGATAAGATTGGTACAGTAAGCACAAATATAGCTTAATTGACAATCAGCTAAAGTAGTGGCTACAGTAAGCTGTGTCGGAGCAAATCAAGTATGGGCCGGAGCAAATCAATTTTGAATGTTAGAAAAAAGCAAGTCCCGCTTAGGTTGGTGTGATAAAATCTCCTGCCCCACTCAGAACTTTGCTACTGCCCGCAGTACTGTCAGCATGGATAATAAAATAAATGGATAGGAAACTAGCTGACGTGACCTAATGTTTTCAATGGGCTGATGGCGTGATTGGATGTTGAAACCTAGTTGCAAAACAAATTCTCAAAAACGGCATGTTTAGCAATAATACAGCTAAACATTTTAGTTAACGAGCAAATGAATATAACTACGCCATTCTACGATGAAATCTCTAAGTATTCCCAGTCAATTTTAACAAATATTTCAAGCACTAAACAGTGAAAACTGCATCCCAAATTTCGTTAAAATTGGGGACGCCAATTTGGTAACTACAAATGTAAAAAAGTGCAAAACAAAGACGAAAAACATTTACCTTGAATACTTTGTCGTGGCTTAGGCATGTTTTTAAAACAATTAGATCAGTTTATGCTTCAGTATTTACTCTTTTAAAGCGAAAAGTATAACGAAACAACAAAAATGCCGAGAACTTTGCAATACGTGTGACGTCACAGATTGCAACTAGGTTTAGACTGTGACGTCAGCTAGAATCCTATCCATTTATTTTATTATCCATGCTGTCAGTAAAGAAAGCTTGTGCAGTGCAGGGCTTACCGTAGAGTTGCTTACCATGTTCAGCTAGAGGAAATCGCTGAAATGTGCGAGATGTCTGACACTGCGACCCTTGCGGGTCTGAACTTCTCCTAAAGAGAATCCCAGCGCCCTGGCCTCTCACTTGTAGTTATTTGATCACCTTGCAAAGCAGGAAAAATCTTTGTGCCTCGCTTCTATGCAGCTCAAAAAAAGTATGTGCCCCGTCCCCTTTTGCTCTGGCCCTGTATAAATAAACTTGGCCCATGCAATGATCTCACCTTCACTGGAACATGGCATTCTGGGCACACCAAGCGACATTGAAGCTGAGAAAGTTTCACGATACATTCATAACAATACGAATGAAGACACGGGAATACTTTGGGGTTGTTTAGCAATTCATCGCACAAACCACACGTGACTAGTTCTTCCAATTTTACAAAGGTCATTGATAGATGTTTTTTGGCTTGTCTTGATAACGACATTCTTCACTCCTAGAATATAGAATTGTACAACTTGATATGCTTCTTATAAGGCCTATTTACACTGGGCAACTTTTGCCTAAAACTGTCGCGTGCAACCTGCTCACAACTCGTGTTCTGTTGTATTGTATAAAGCAAGCGCACCACTTTCCCACGTTGTAGATGAGTTGTGTGCTTGACTATTTACATGGTAAAAGTCGGGTTGTAAGCATGTTGCATGCGACAGTTATGGAAATAGTTGTGTAGCGTAAATTGGCTTATACATCACAACTTTTGCATATACTACTTCAGTTGTGCTGTGTAAATCGAGCACACATCTCACTTATGTTGTCGTAGGTGAGTTGTGTGCTTGATTTACACAGTGCAACCCAAGTTGTAAGCAGGTTGCATGCGACAGTTTTAGGTAAAAATTGTGTAGTGTAAATCGGCCTATAGGTACTCACTTGTAGTTGGTTTTAAGTAAAGTGTTTTACATGGTGCTATATAAATAATGAGAATTTTTTTCAGTTCATAATAATTTTACGAGACGAAGCCGAGTATCTTTACTGATTAGGTCTGATAAAACACGCACTGCGAATGAATTATCTCTCTTATCTCTTATAATACAATGGAAACTCCGACGTTTCGACTACTCTTGAGTCGTCATCAGGAATTATCATAAATTATTATTATTATTATAATTCCTAATGATGACTCAACGGTAAAAATGCTGTGCGTTATATTACTACCTTAAAAAATAAGCAGAAACTCGACGTTTCGAGCGAAGGCCCTTCGTCAAGAGTTAGAGACAAAGGGCCTTCGCTCGAAACGTCGAGTTTCTGCTTATTTTTTAAGGTAGTAATATAACCACTCAGCACAGCATTTTCACATTGGTACTACCTACACTGGTACAGACAGTTTTAGTATATATGACTCAACAGTAGTCGAACTTTGAATTAAAAATATGAATTTCTTCCGAGTCTTCATTGTACTGTATTTTATTAGAATGTTTTAAATTGCTTCAGAAACGATCGATCTAGTAAGTTCATTGGCAAGTAATTTTCAATTAGTTTTTGAAATTAAATATAAATGACAGTTGCGCATTGTTGCTGGGGATATTTCAAGCTCTACATGATAGTGTTGGGAAGCATTAAGAAAAGCTAGCCATGCTCACGTGACTGCCAACTCTCATGCCCTCTTAACTTTGGCCCTTCGAGGCGAAACAGGGCGTGGCAGGGGCTTAACTCGAAAAGGGCTTAACCACAGGGGGCCCGCCTCTGACTTCCTTGCTTTAACTCGAAGGGCTTAATTAAAACTTTATTTGTCAAGAGGGAAGCGATGTCACCTTCATAAGTAAACAAGTACCGGAAATTACCGGACATATATGTATACTCACATTATTTTTACCCCAAATATTACATATCATTAAGCAATCAAAGAATTGAAAGTGATATATTTACGAGGATAAAATACAGTGCCATTGTTATATATAGTACAAAACATAATTCGAAGATTAGCATCTTGAAACCCGGCCAAAATATGAGTCAAACAAGAAAGTGAGTGAGTAATTATTTCGATTTTAATCATCATCAGACTAACTAGTCTGATGATGATTTTGTAATGAAATCGAAATATTACTCACTTATTTTCTTGTTTAACTCATATTTTGGGTTTCAAGATACTAATCTTCGGATTATGTCCTGTACTATAGATTTTTTGAAATTGTCAGCTGGTATTGGTTCCATTGTTATATACGCGTGCGATATCACAGTCTGCGCGCTATTCGGCAAAACAGTAACATTCATAACAGGCCTAGTTAGTAGTTAACTTTGCGGTTTCAGGAAAGTAGTAAACATTTGATAAATGGTCACATGGTAGAAATTGAGCAATTCAACTCATTTATTCTCCTCCAAACACAATCCGAAAACAATGCTTCTGTCTATAAGCCGTTTGCCAGGCTGTTGGCAGGGGTTATAAACGCGGAAATGCCAGGACACACTATTTCAGTTCCTCGAAATTGGACGTCTGTTTTCAATTCGTTTTAATTAAAGTCGTACCTACCAGCTTTTTATTTGTGTAAATTTCGTCAGTAAGAATAGCCACTTCGAATCTTTTCAAATACACTTGCGCTCGCCACTCGGAGCTCGACTTTCTGTGGAGAAAAATCCCAAAAATCTTTCACGTGATAGAGTTTCAAATTTCAATTCATGTTGGGGCAAGACCGCTGTAAATAGCAAAGTCTGCGCAGAATTCAATTATAACCAAAAATTACGAATTATTACCAGAACTGATTATAATGTTCGTTTTTCTGCGAACTTGCACACCTTAAACTGAGACAATCTAGACGCTCTCAGCAATTCTTATCTACAAAACGATCAATAAAATGGTACCCGACTATCTTTCCAACCAATTCACTCCAGCTAATACGATACATAGCTATAATTTGCGTGACTCTGACCTTTGACTCTAGAGGATCTGTCCTGTGAAATAGCCGACCTGTTCAAGCAAATCAATGTTACATCTCTATATAGCAACTTTCAAAAACATTTTAACCCTTTAATGCACGAGGCACTTCCTATGCATTAAATTTAATGAAAATTGGTGAAAATGCTACATTAGCAACTAGTTTTCGATTAGTAAAATTTTTTTTGAAAAAACAGCTATCCAGGGGGGGGGGAAATTTTGTCCAGTATACTGGACAACGTGCATATTAGGAAAGAAATTGTCAAAAACCATTGAACAAATATATAAAAGAATTTAATTACAGAGTAAAACTTTTTGCTGTATCAAGTACACTAACTACCAACCTACAACCCATATAATTTACTTTCCATGAAAATTTAAGAAACAAGTGCTCTTAGTGACACATAAGTACACATTGCACTTGCTGCACATAAACATTGTTTTTTTCTTGCAACCGTCCATTTTGCATCTCTGTGCATTGGGCATGTCTAGGAGAATTGGCCAATGGTCATATTTATCATATCTTATAGCTTCTGGGATATTTGATGCCTTCATTCTCTTCTTTGGTGGTGGCGGTGGTTCAGGCTGATCTTCGTCCGAGTCGTCGCTCTGTGGCTTTCCGACCATGAGGGTGACACAAATTTCAGTGAGGAAATCCAAGTAGCTTTTTAATCCTCCCATCTCCTTGTATATGATCCACGCATTCACTGCACATTGGCTTATCAGGTGCAATGCAATTCGCTGATACCACTTTCGACACCTATATTTTGTGCGATACAGGGCCAACATCATGTCGGACTTGTCAACACCACCCATGTAGTTGTTATACAACTCAACTGAAGCAGGTCGTTCAACACTTGCAGTGGCCTTCTCCTTGCGGATGTACCGGGTACATTCTCCAACTGGTTCTTTTCCAATAAAATTGGATATCATCAGGACTCTTCTGCTGTCGTACCATGATGTTACGACAACCGATCTTTCTTTATTTACATTTTGTGCTGAAGAACCTCTGCCACTCTTCTTCAACTCGCTTTCACTAGGTAAAGGACATTTCCTGGACCTATTGGCATTCAATGTTGCCAAAGCCCAAAAACCTTTCCTAGCTAAATATTCCATTAGTTCTGGGCTTGAAAAGAAGTTGTCAAAGAAAAGTTTGTGCTTATCTTCTTCAAGCTTCTCAATCAAGCGCAAGACAACAAATCCACTTTCGCCACACTTTTCTGGTGCATCCCACCCATCTGGAGGACCAGTTTTCCCTTTCTCTCCATCCACTTCAAAAGTATAGACATACCCAGAAACACCAGCAATGGCCCATAGCTTATAGCCCCACTTTTTTGGTTTCTTTGGGAGATAACGCTTCAGACAACTGGCGCCTTTGAATGGGACTAATTGCTCATCGACAGCAACATAGGTTTCTGGGATGACAGCTTCAAAGAACTTTTCTCTGATGTAGTCAACAAGTGGCTGAATCTTATAACACTTGTTGTAATCTTCACTTTTACTGGCAGGGATCAAATTGTTGTCATTATAATGAAGTAGCTGCATGATCTTGGCAAATCGATTTACTCCCATCGTGTTCGCAATAATGTCAACTCTAGTGTTGTTTTGCCAATACATTCGTCTGTTTGGCAACTTCAGAATACCCATATACAGAACAATTCCAAATGCTTTCTTAATATCTTCAACCGTGATTTCATCCACCTCTTTGCCATTGGTGTTGTTTATTGACAGAGATGTTGCGTATAGTTGAGTTTGTTCCAGGATCATGTCCAACAATTCACTTGTAACAAACAAATTGAAAAACTCAATTGGTGAGCTATTCTTTGAAAGACTATCTTCCAAATCTGGATTAAGCTTTAGTTTCCTTTCATCAATTTTTGATTTCGTTGGAATTTTCCAGGTTTGCTTTCCCTTCAACAGCCATTCGTACTCTTCTACACGACTAGATGATGGTGCTTGATCCAGAACCTCTTCCTCATCACTGTCACTTTCTATGATAAGTAAATATAAAAAATATATACTCAATATTGAATGTTTAATATGTCTAACTTAGCTAGGTGATGATAATAATATTCTAACATTTG